CAAACCTGTGCACGTAAAAGAACCCAGCACACTCATTGAGAAGAGTAAGGGTGACCTGGTGTGGTCACCAATTTCGAAACACAAGATGTAGACTTGAAAAAATTATTACTAGTATAATCACCTCATTTGGGGACAACTGCTACATGTATTTCCAAGAAGATATCGTTATACATGTCTGTCACGTTATGTAAATATTTCCTCACCCAGGCACATTGTTCTGATATCTTACCGAAATGACATAGAGAAGAAAAGCACAAAAGAATTAATTTAGGATCACAATAAGGTTCATCAGACAGTGTTTTTTTACTCAAATTCTGCATATTCTGATCATATTGCATGAAAGTCTGGGGTTAACGACCTGTTATTGTTAACACAATACGTGACATCTAGCCCCGGGGTGGACAGGCCTTCTTTTATTCTAGATATCTTCTCGCTGTTATCAAAACATGGTGTCGACAATAACCAGGTGTTCGTTGTAGGATTTTGACAGTGTTTTTTTTTTTATCATTTTCCATATATACCTTCATGTTTAAGAATATGAAAAAGCTTTATTGCAAGCTCATGCCCGGTTCTAATTGCAAACACAGAAGGACAATGAGTACATAATGTATTGAAGAATGGTATAAAACCATGTAAACATAAAGTTTTACTTCTACTAGTCTAAGTTTCTAGTTTCTACTCAAAACTCACGTATGAATTTGTGACAGTGAGAGGATATATGTGGTACATTAACAAGAGAGACATGGGAACTACCATTCTATTTATAGTTGAGCCATGAGGGGGGCATACTAGTATTAAAGTAAGTAATCTATTTTAAAAAATTCGATGAAAGTGCAGACGAAAGGTAAAGAGAGGGAGTATGATGATGTACTTGAAAAGATTATCTATAAAGAAAAAGAAGTCCATACCTGCTTGCACACTGATGATGACGAAAAGACTGACCAGTACCCAGGTCGCATCGTCCAAGTCAAGAAACACATCAGGATACCCGGATGTAAATGACGTCAGGTTGGAGACATTCATTGTTGCATTTCAGTTTTTTTTCTTTTATTTCTTAAAAAGTTTTCAGTCCCTTTTCTGTTAGGATTAGACAAGAAGAAAATGTTGTATTACAAAAGAATCAAACTTAATACACAATCATCCAAAATGATAATTCTTATAGGAATGTACTGGTTAAATATACCGTACCTATATACTGCATATTGTGGTTACGTTTCTTATGTACACTTAGCTACATGGATATACACGCGTGTACGTCTTTTAGATTAAATTAATTAACCAACTCCCATGAGGGACAATATACTACGGTTGCTGTATTTGCATATTGTTCCTTCTTTCTTGCCCGCCACATTAAAGACAGCAAAAAAGAGAATACAAAATCGAATAGTTTGTCGGTTGTTTGCCATCAATTGAATTTGTTAACAGTTATAGCACCCAAATGATTATGATACCAGGTGTAAGTATATAGTCATAATGAAAAGTGGTTAATAATCATACAAACATTTCAAGTTAAACCTGAATGATTTTCTCTTCGGAAAACAAACAACAACATGCCCTACTTATTCATTCAACAAATTTCTAGTTGCTTTGAGAAGATTTGAATCTCCTTGAGTATTGAGTATAAGAAATAAAAGAACGGAAAGGTAACACAGAAGCTGCTGTGTTTAATCAACTTTGAGTTGTTAAGAAAAAAAAAGGTGTCCTTTTGAAAATCATTTACTGACTAAAACATTGGTGACAAAGACGCTAGATCTGTACATGTGACCATACCTGTGTCGATTCTGTGTTCGTTGTGCCAGGAAGTCTATTTACACACAATCAATGTGTTACAATGTGTAATGAAGAAATACTTTGTATCTTAACAGGAAAGAAGGCGGGATTCGAAGGCGAGACTTTAAAAAGAGATCTAAAGCTGACCCGCACACACCTGGTAGCAGTTCTATTGTTTGTGGTTTTCCCATTTCTAGTAGCTGCCATAATTGTACCTTGTACACTTTTTGTGCCCTAAATAGTATCTATAGATATCTAACCAAACGTTACTGATTTCGTCGCTTGCAAAGTATTATCACAAGAATGTCAGTTTTGGTGAACAGTCGAAAAGTCTTTATATTTCCTTACTTTTTTTGGAAATTTTAGTTGAGTCCCTTATTCCTTTGTGAAGTCGAGAGGTTGTACTGAACACCCCTATACTCTCTTATTAAGATAGTAATCTAACTACTGTAGTTCTCCCTTGGGTAGATTTCTAGTACATCTACACATAAGATTACTGTTAGGATGTAAAAAAGCTTACCTTACTGTTACAGGTGTCTCTTCTAGACGATCATCTTGTGTTCTGTGGTTCTCAATTCTTCTTGGAAAGCCTCCAGTAAGGACGACTATTTCTGATACGGCCTCTGTGATTTGCCCAACAAAGGTTTTTGACCGCAGGCGCTGTGAGTCAGACAATAAAAGGCAGGACACCTGTCCCCGAAAATTAGTGGAGCCACTCCGTTGCCATGGCTACGAACCTGGTTGGACCAGTTTGGACCAGTTTGAAGTCGTTTTCAGGCCACGAGAAGTAAATTATATGGATGCCATCCACCGTAGACTCAAAATGTAATGCGATAGAGCGAAAAAAACAAGGCGGGTAAAAAAACAAGGTTTCTACATCTTCAAATTTTGACACCATAAACCTTGTTCAACAAGAAGTGATACCTATATTGTGCCAACTATATATAACAGCATCCATTTCCCACTGATACATCTTTGAAAAATAAAGGTTTTTAATCTTTGTATAAATGGTTTTGATCCAGTGGGAACATATATTCACAGCCACCACCACATATTTTTAAAGGAATGAAATACATCACTGCATCAAAGTAAAAGACAAAACAATAAATCAGAGCCTTGTCTTGTCTCCTCTCTTCAAATCTATCTGCCATCCACGTTCCGGCATGGCAACTGTGAACAGACATCTTTGCCCATTTTCGACATGTTGACCACTGTCACTGAGGGCAACAAAATTTCTTGTTTTTTTCTTCCAAAATCAGGCAAAAATCAATGCGCGCGCTGATGTCATCCATAAAAATGACTTGCTGTTGTCCAATGCATGCGCAGAAGCTATGTTTACCCAATGAGAACAGTTGTAAGGTCGGGTGTAATTTGCGTACAGAGGTCGCGATGACATGATATACTAGTTTCTGTTTTGACCTCAGTGACCTATTCACCAGTTTCCCATCCCCAGAATGCAATGCGAAAATAGGGGGTAACCCTCATTTGCATAGGACTGGAAGGCATCGGAATGATCCTGTTGACGCTAAACAGCTTGTTTTTAAGTGTGTTTTGAATTGTCGGAGCATTTTGTGCTCAACATTGATTAAATTACTATGGGTTGAATATGAAAACAAATAGAGAATGAATTTTTTTGAATATGTGGTTTGTAACGTTATAGTGGTAACGCTATACTGATGCTGTAACGTTACAAACCACATGTTCTATGTTGAAAACTTAATTCTCTACTTGTTGTTCTCACCTCAAAACACAGTGAAAAACAACGAGGTTACCCCCCTATTTTCGCATTGCATTCTGGGGATGGGAAACTGGTGAATACGGACAAAACTAGTCACGATGCTACAAATACTTTGGGAAAATTTTTTGTTTTTTTTTACAATCAAAAGGGTTAAACTTCTTACCTTCTGACTGTCTTGCTAAGTTAAGGGACCCTCTGTTTTATTTTCTCAGCTGTGTGTTAGCTTTACTGAATCATAGTATAACGCGACGTGTCCCTTCTACATACGGTACACGCACGCCCTCTACCGAAATAGCACGTCCATGCATGGCGGGTAGATTATACCAATATAAGCAAGTACAGGGGTGTTTGGTTGAAAATAGTTTTACTAACGGGGGGTGCCCTAATTCCGACCTAACCCTTATTCCGTACTAGTTTGAAAAGAACAACTCAAGTGTTACATTGTATACTGAATTGGCTTTGGGTTGGGCTTATTTAACGACGTAATAAATAAAGATTCAATTTCGTTCATTCAATCTCATCCATATAACCTCTGATTGGTCAAATGTTGTACACAGCCGGTGGTACATTTGCATATCAAACAGGTGGAACAAAATTGTGGATGAAACTATTGTTTCCATCTAAACGGGGGACGAGATTTCTCATTACTTTTTTGTACCAAAGAATAATTATAGGGTTGTCATAAAACATATGTATGTACCAAAGAATGCAACATTGCAAAGTTGCAGGAAAGTGACCCTAACGTCCCTTGCATAGTCTGGGCGATTAAAACGAACCTCATTTTTGGTGTGGCGTAAGCACTTACCTGTAGAAACAAATGGGACAGACCAAAATCAGCTTCGAATTCGTTCGGAACAGTACAAGCTACATGGTGTTGAAGGTAAGACGTGAAGGTTAGTGCAGAGTGTTTTTTTTTCTTATTTTCCCCTCTTGGCAGCGCAAAAAGGCCCCAGCGTTTTATAATACTATCTCGTGCGCTTTCATGTATACATGTAATTCGTGCGTTGACGTTGTATAAGTGAAATTCGTGGATTCCTGAGATCTTGAGGCTCGAAACATGTTGTCAGCTTGCGCTCAAGCTGGGGGGTGGGGGGCGAACTTGGAGACCCGAGCGCTGTATAGTATTAACTCTTGCGCTTTCATGTATACATGTAATCCGTGCGCTAACGTTCGTAATTCTTAATTTCTTAGCGGAGGTCGCGCAAAATACCTTTTTCTTGATTTGTTGTATGACTATGTGTTGAAGACATGTCAGGAATTTTGTGAGTGCTACACAAAATTCCTCGCATTATATTGTCATGGTTAGTCTAGGTTTAGTGGTGTTATTTCATACGGCTTGGGTATTTTGTATTAATTTGTAAGTTGATATTGTGATGATTCTACTGCTGTGGTTTATGCCTGTATGTTGCTTGCAGTGAATCTTTTTCAGAAAGGTTCACATCAATATCTTTTCGTTGCTAAGTCAGTTTACTGGCTTAGCAACGAAAAGGGGCATCTCGCGACGCTGTTATAGTTGTAAAGCGTGCGTGGTATAGATGTAAACGTTGGATAGTTCTAACCCGTGCGTTTTATAAATGTAATTCGCGAGGACCCAAATATCAGTGATGCCCACATGCAGCGCGGCGCGGTTTGACCACAAAAAAAATCTTAACACTGCATCAATTGTGTCGTTTTTTCTGCAACTCACTTGCACACACGTACACAAACACTATTGAATTCATTGTATTCATTGTGCTCTTAGCATGGGAGCCATCTTAGTAAGATCGCTTCCATGCTCTTGGGCTCTTTATGGTAGTATGATAACCCATGTGACACCACTAAAATCCATAGAATTCCAAATACCTAGTATTATAGAATTCTATGGATTATTATTAGCTTAGAGCATTTATCTTAGTTCCTATTGCAGTGTACTAACGATTTTTCTTCCCCATGAAAAAATGGGGGGTCTGTCCCCGCTTGTGTAGTTCTTGTGGGGTTAGGTCCAACTCATGCCTTTTGCTTTTATATTGCCCCATTTAATTGGGAAAGGTGGGTAGTTTGGGTGATACGTGTTAGTATTAGTTTGTGCAACTAATGCATATCCCAATAAAGTATTAAGTTTGTAAATAATGTATATTTAATACCAAATGACCTAGAAAAACGAGTTTAAAATCCATTCTTAGAATGATTAACTAAAACTTTTAAAAGATCGTTAATTTGTTAGGCTCGTACTGAACCCCCTGGGTGTCTTATGGGGTAAGTTTTAGTTAGTTTCCCTATAGCTAGCGCCCCTCCCCTTGACTATATCGTAACTTTCTATTGCCTGTATCTTCGCACACACGCGCACACATGCACTTCAAAACGCTAAAATATACAATATTCTGATGCTTGAGATGTGCAGAAAGTGTCTGAATGTAAGAGGTATGCAAAAGTTCACAAACTATTTTGCATATTTCATCAAAATTTAAAATGTCTGTAAAATATGTGAAGAAATGTTCGATGCTTGAAATGTGTAGTAAGTAAGTAATCTAAATAAAGTGTTCTATATACAATGTTAATTTGGTTGTGTTCTATTCTTCGCATTCACGCACGCACGCACACACACACAAGAAAAAAAAGTAAAAAAATGTGACTGTTATCAAATATATTACATGGATTCTAATGTAATGTTCCTAGTGTATTGTATATGTTCTAGTTTGTCTACCCAGTACAGGGTACGGGCAGCAATGTTTAGAATCGCATCTTATACTTATTGTTAACGTGTTTCTTTTCTTTTTGTCCAACATTACAGTTACAGCGTATACCTGAAGACTGAATTCGAAGTGTCTACAACGCGAAGACGTCTTCTTTATCGCCGAGAAGTTGAAGGAAGCAGCCACCGCAGCTCTGACCAGACTGTATGGAAACTATGAATGCATGAGTGAATGAATGAAGATTATATATAATTATATAAATTAGTGGATGAATATATGTTGCTCCTTGTGTAAAGTACATGCTGTAGTTTGTCTTGTTCAGAATTGGACATAGTTGAATGTTGCCTGAATGTGCATGGGTGAACCAAGGTGATTCTGCACAGCGTATCTAGCATTAATTATAACCTATGCTTTCTTCTTTTTTTTCCTTTCTGACAACACAGTTCCACCAACTGAGAGGATGTAGTTTCGTGACTGGTCGGGGGAAATCTGGTGACCACAGCTCCGATCGTGAAGACCAGCAGAAGCAAGTTGACTGTACAAGTTAGTACTGGGGCTTCTATTAGTAAATTATTGGTTCTTTTGACTCGTGTTATCATTTTGTTCGCGACTTAACAAGTAAGGGATGGGCGCTTGAATAATTCGTAAAATATTAGGTCCTTTATATTCTGGGTGGTACCCTAAAAATCAATCCAGTAACATTAACCATTTTTAATCAGAATTGTTTTGCTCCTTTAATGTCGATATACATTGGGACAGTGTTGTTTCAACTTCTGTATCGGTATAGCCGGTATAACCGCCCTTCGGCGTAACACACCATCTTCGCAGGCAAGGGCTACATTACACCGAACGACTTGTTACACCTAACCCTTGAACATCTAACTCATTGCTTAGAATTAAAGCTATCTAATGATTTTGCTTAATATCTATATAAGTGACTAGAATATTGACTTAGAAAATTTTTTTCCAAGCCCTAAAAACTGCACTGGATGCCTTTATTACGACTCTCAGTGTTCCAGGACCCACTCTCCGACGGCCAGGAGGGAGGGGAAGATTTCCTCGGCCGTGGGCAGGATCTGGTCGGGCGGCAGGAGGAAGGCGTACCGCCCAGTGTCCCGCAGCTCCACGATGTACGAGTACTTGATCCCCGCCTTGTCGTAGGTCCAGTCCTGAGAATCTCCCGACACTTGGTCTATGTGGGTCAAAATAAACAACAGGTTTAGTGTAAATACTGGTTGTGTATTTGTTTGTTTGTTTAGGGTTTGTTATAGTATGCCATACACGGCCAAGGAATGAGTGATTTTGAATTTTGGGACCAAACAAGGTTTATAAATAGTTTAATATTGTTTTTATTGAACGTGTGTGTGTGTTTGTGTGTCTGTATATGTTTGTGTGTTTGTCTGTGTGTATGAATTTGTGTGTGCGTGTGCAGTGCGTGTGTTTGTGTGTGCATGCGTTCGCATATTTGTGTATGCACCAAATATTGACATAAATATTGATATGACTATAGCCTGATAAAGACGTGAAGCAACCTTAACTGAGGTCGAAGATATATTTCGTCGATGAATTCTTTTCAGGATAGACATCCGGGTATTAAGATACGCCCAAAAATATATATTGGTACATGATATTGTTTCAGGATACTTAATTAATTAGGTTTTGACTCTGTAATACTCACACAATGTCTCCATGGCTAAGTGTTGGTTGGTCCCTCCAGTGCTAACACCCCAAATATACCCACGGACATCACCCCCCACAGTCCGCATGCGCCGTGGACCGCCACGCCATCTATGGGGTCATCGACCTGGAAATTAAAGAATTTTGATTTGTTAAGAAAATTTAAGAAATTATATATGTAAGATGCTTCGGTGTATTTCACCAACGTTTATCAAGCACAATACTTGGCCTTCCCTGTCCTTAGTGCTGAAGGGCCTTCTCTGTCCTTAGTGCTGAAGGGCCTTCCCTGTACTTAGTGCTGGAGGGCCTTCCCTGTCCTTAGTGCTGAAGGGCCTTCCCTGTACTTAGTGCTGGAGGGTCTTCCCTGTCCTTAGTGCTGGAGGGCCTTCCCTGT